GTTATCCTTTGGTCTAGCAGGGTTCTTCTTACTTCAAGAGTATAAGAACCCTGCTAGACCAAAGGATAACTATTTGTCTTCAGACTGCAACTTCCAGCATTCTTCACCATAGCTGTGTTGAGTACGGACGATGAGATCGACAGTCGAGCAATGCCTTGAAAGCAGCACGTTGCCCATCCCTGATCTAGATGTATGTAGGAATCCCACAAATAAAGCCTGAAAGCCATTACTCTTTACTACAACAGGTATTCAGAGTTTCTGCTATGATTTCCACATATTTGAAGTCATGCACACTTTTCAAATTTGTGCTTTTTGCCAGATGCATTCACGGCCATCTAGTAATGTACAGATAATGTATAGATTCTGGAATGTGATGTGCATGCAGCTCACGTCTAGTTCAGGCAGGGCGAATAGAGAAATGTTTGCATAATAAATCAATAGGAGCAAATTTCTTTCACACATCACTGACTGGCATATTGTGCAGCAGCAAATATTACAGGAGAGAGAGAAAAACATCTCTTTATGCCTTCTACTTGTTACCACAATAACAAATAGGCCAAGTTATATTTCACCATGATGTTGCAAAGTATTTGGATACACAAAATACCCAATAAAACAAGTGGGACCTGCAAACAAGATGGTACAATGTGAATTATTTCTGTTTATATTTCCAGCCAAATCATTTCTCCACAATATTCCACTCTATTGGCATTTCTTAGCTTGTTTCTATTCTGCTCCAACAAACAGAAAATACCGTCTCCAGCTCTACTGAATTATTGGGAGACTTTGCTCCAAAGCATTTTTCTTTGAACAAGAAAAACATTTTTGTAAATCTATGCGTCTCTCCAACTACATTGATACCGCCCTCTTGAGAATGGATTATATCATTTTGACTACATAAACAATAGCACTGTTGGCTCAAACATTAAAGGAAATGATTGCAAAGCCAGTCTAATAATCTAGTAATGTTTCAAAAGCCAATGCTAAAATCAACAGAGCATTAAGACAGTAAAGGCTTGTTGAAGCAAGAATTGATATATGTATATTGGATGCGTACACATATATATTGCATAGTTGTTTGAATATTGCACTATGATATTGGGGAATAGGGTCCAAATCCTGCTCAGCCATGAAACTCCCTAGGTGACCTTGGGCAAGTCACTGTCCCAACGTTAGAGGAAAGCAATGGTGCATTAGTTTTCTGAACTAATCTTGCCAAGACAACTCCATGATAGGTCACCTTAGGGTTGCCATAGATTGGAAACAACTTGAAGGAACACAACAACTATTGAGAACAAAGACAAGCATTGGGCCGGGGTTTAGCATAGCAGGCTAACCGCCAGCTGCAGCAAATCTTGTCAATCAGAAGGTTGACAGTTCAAAGCCCGGGTCAGGGTGAACGGCTGGCCTTCCAGCCCAGCTTCTGCCCACCTAGCAGATCGAAAACAAATGTGAGTAGATAAATAGGTACTGTTTTAAAAGCAGGGAGGTATTAAGGCACCCATAAGGAAATGCCAGAAAATGCTGGCAATTCAATCAAAGAAGGAAGTTTACAAACAAACCTCATCAATAGGGAAGATGGAGCGACAGCACCCCCCCCCTCCCAATGGCTGGAACCGAGCACAGCCTTCAAGATGCTGAAGATGGGAATCTCTTTCTATGTACAGTTGTCTGTCTTGTCATTGTATAATCAGCATTGAATATTTGCCATGTATAAGTGCATTGTAATCCGCTCTGAGTCCCCTTCGGGGTGAGAAGGGCAGAATATAAATATTGTAAATAAATAAATAAATAAATAAATAAATAAATAAATAGAACAGTTTCTGCAATAAGCCTTCTAACAATTAGTCACCATCTCAAAAAAAACATTAGCCCTGCATATTGTACCTTCCCTTCTGTCAAACTTTATATTACTAAGCAGAGGAACAGAAGTCTCCTATTTAGCATTTCTATTACATATGTGCACACTGGTGGTTCTCTTTTCCTTCTTTCTTTCAGCAGGGAAAATGCTCAGCACACCCAGCAGGAAATTCCTGCATTAGTAATGAACAATAGTAGAAGAAACATGATGTTCACATGTCATGGTGCTTGTTCGCATGTTATTTGACATCAGTCTGAATGCAAGCAACAGCAGCAACGGCAGGATCCAAAGACTATCCTCCTATACAACCTGAAGCTAACATGTGGCACAGGCATGTAGCCAGGGGGGGGGGGGGCTCGGGGGGCTTCAGCCCCCCCCCGAAATTTTCATGGTGGTTCGCGAAAAGGCCTTAATGGTGCATTATTTAAACTGTTATGTTTATTCATATCATGATCTGATCACCATACTCAATATATCCCATATGCATGGGGGTATTGGGGTAATGATACAAAAGGTTTGCTAGGCTAGACCCTCTTTCACTCAGACTCAGCCCCCCCAAACTCAGCCCCCCCGAAACCCCCCCTGAAAAAAAATTCAGCCCCCCCCCGAAATGAAATCCTGGCTACGGGCCTGATGTGGCAACATGTCTTTCTATTTGCAAGATCTATATCTCATCCACCAGATCTGTGTCAACCAATTTTGACAATACGGAAAAGCAAAGGTAAAATAGCTTTGATGGGAAGAGCTGCACCTCAATGCTTTGCATGAAGTTCGTTCTTGGTTCAATTTTCTAGCATCTCTAAATAAGGCTAGTGAACATCCAGATTTTGAAACCCTGGAGTCTCTGACTCCGAGCAATGATTGGACAACATGTGGGCCTACATTTTATCCAGCATAACCAATAATCAGGGATTATTGGACTTGTAGTCCAAGAAGAATAATAGAATAATAGAATAATCGAATTGGAAGAGGTCTCATGGGCCATCCAGTCCAACCCCCTGCCAAGAAGCAGGAAAATTGCATTCAGAGCACCCCTGATAGATGACCATCCAGCCTCTGTTTAAAAGCCTCCAAAGATGGTGCCTTCTCCACATTCTGGGAAAGAGAATTCCACTGCTGAACAGCTCTTAAGTCAGGAAGTTCTTCCTAATGTTCAGGTCGAATCTCTTTTCTTGTAGTTTGAAGCCACTGTTTCGTGTCCTAGTCTCCAGGGCAACAGAAAATAAGTTTGCTCCCTCCTCCCTATGACTTCCCCTCACATATTCCCCTCATCATGTCTCCTCTAAGCCTTCTCTTCTGCAACCTAAACATGTCCAGCTCTTTAAGCCGCTCCTCATGGGGTTTGTTCTCCAGACCCTTGATCATTTTATTCACCCTTCTCTGGACATATTCCAGCTTGTCAACATCTCCCTTCAATTGCGGTGACCAGAATTGGACACAGTATTCCAGGTGTGGTATGACCAAGGCAGAATAGAGGGGTAGTATGACTTTTCTGGATTAGACACTAGACTCCTATTGATTCAAGACAAAATCCCATTGGCTTTTTAAGCTGCTGCATGTCATTGTTAGCTCATGTTTAACTTGTTATCCACGAGGACTCCAAGATCTTTTTTACATGTACTGCTGTCGAGCCAAGCATCCCCCATTCTGTATCTTTGCATTTTTTTCTGCCTAAGTGGAGTATCTTGCATTTGACCCTGTTAAACTTCATTTTGTTAGTTTGGGCCCATCTCTCTAATCCGTTAAGTTAGCTTTGAATTCTGCTCCTGTCATCTGGAGTATTGGCTATCCCTTCCAATTGGGTGTCATCTGCAAACTTGATGGTCATGCCTTCTAAGCCTTCATCTAAGTCAGTGGTTCTCAACGTTCCTAATGCCGCGACCCCTTAATACCGTTCCTCATGTTGTGGTGACCCCCAGCCATTAAATTATTTTCATTGCTACTTCATAGTTGTGATTTGGCACAAATACCCAATATGCCCTAATTTGAATACTGGTGAGGTTGGGATGGGACGATTGATTTTGTCATTTGGAAGTTATAGTTGCTGGGATTTATAGTTCATCTACATTCAAAGAACATTCTGAACTCTACCAATGATGGAATTGGACCAAACTTGGCACACAGAACTCCAACGGAAAATACTGGAAGGGTTTGGTGGGCATTGACCTTGAGTTTGGGAGTTGTAGTTTGCCTACACCCAGAGAGCACTGTGGATTCAAACAATGATGGATCTGGATCAAACTTGGCACAAATACTCAATATGCCCAAATGTGAACACTGGTGGAGTTTGGGAAAATAGTCTTGACATTTGGGAGTTGTAGTTGCTGGGATTTATAGTTCACCTACAAACAAAGAGCATTCTGAACTCCACCAGTGGGATTTATAGTTCACCTACTACCAAAGAACATTCTGAAGCCCACCAACGATAGAATTAGGCCAAACTTCCCACACAGAACTCCCATGACCAACAAAAATACTGTCTGTGATGGTCTTTGGCGACCCCTCTGACACCCCCTCGCGACCCCTCCAGGGGTCCCGACCCCCAGGTTGAGAACTACTGATCTAAGTCATTAATAAAGATGTTGATAACAGAGTGAGCTCAACATCTCTCCCTCTGATACCCACCTTAATGGATCAATTGCCTGATTCCCATGCTGGCTGGCATTTTTTTTTTATCCAAGAATTAACTTTTCCAAGTTAATATACAACCAAGTGGGCAATAGTACAGTGGTTTGCATAGCTCAATTTTGGGCCAAATATTTGATCCTGGAAATAATAGGAAGTCTATTTCTACTGTTAATTTCTGGCTTTTTCAGCTAGTCTTTGGTGTTTTGGAGAATGAGGGCCAGTTCAGAGTGAAACTCCCATGGCAAGGCAGTTTTAGGGCACTTTTCACACATACACAGCCACCAGACATACATTTGGGAGAGGTCCTAGATCCATAGGCAGACTGCCCTGTTTGACAATATAATTTTCCAAGACATGAAAAGATGTAGTAAAACACTACAGTCAATTTCATAATTTAACCAGTGGAAAAATCCTCCAGGGCTGATGTTGGAAACAGAGTAATAAACTGATCTCAGGACAAGCTTGTGCCCAGAACAACTGAGTGCATGGAGACAGGATGCTTTTAGCTCACCGAGAAGGGTATTCCTGTGGATTCTGTTGAGGTTTTGGATGCTGTTGCCTTTTAGATCTTCTGAAAGAGGAAAAGAGAGAAGCAAATGGAGTTCGCAGCCCACCAAGGATGGAAGGTGATGCATGTTTCTGGGGACCAAGTGGTTTTGTATTTGCAGAGTCTGAAAAAGGAAAGGGAAAAAGTTGGAAAACTTGTTTTTACATCATTGGAAATACAAATGCATGCAGGCTTCTTGGTTTTTGTGGGGGAAAGTAGCATGCAGCTTTAAAAATGTGCTTTGTGCATTTATGTGTATGCTGTTATCTGTTTTGGTCAGAGCTTGGAAATAATGCATTACAAGCATTGATATTATCTGATCAACAATATGAGGGCTACAATATTATTTTCACAAAATAATATAAGGGTTGTTTATGTGTTTACTTCTCTTCTGTGATGTGCAATTTTCACTTTCATCTAGATTGTAGACTGTAATAACTTCTCAACTAGCCAATTAGTTCTGGAGCATGGGTTTGGATAAACACTATGAACAAAATTACCTTCAGACTGTGTGTATTTATTTTACTTTAGTTTAGTTTACTATATTTCTACCCTGCTCTATCTCATCCCAAAGGGGAGTCAGAGTGACATACAGTTTGGCAATCATTCAATGCGACATTACAATACAAAGACATGTAGGTAGGTATATAAGGCTTATAGGTGTATAGGACATACAAAGGTGTATAAGGCATACAGAAGCATCAACTCCCTATACTTGATTTTATAAGAGTTAAGGTACAGTACTCATATTGACTCGTGGAGGCCAACCCAGGTTTGGGGCTAGTTCTTTGACTAAGATGTCTAGATTTATATGTGAGTATATATAGTAATTCTAGTAATTAAAATAAAAATATATAATAATTGTAAAATATGAAAACTGAGGTAAAAAGCCAGAATTCTCTATCCTAGCATATGTCAAGTAACTTTATGTATATTTAACTACACGTCAGAGGTGCTAAGAAATCCTGTTAGTGAATTGTGAAGATGTAAATTCAGACACTGACAAGAGTATCCCAATGTGTATTACGAAATTCTAGTCAGTACCTTAATGCGTAACTGGACTGATGTGCATCATGCCAGCAGTCCTTTCCTGCATATAGACATTACAAACTATCCAATTCTATTTCCCACAGACAAAAGTCCACTTATGAAGATGTAAGTCCGCAACAGACAAAATTAAATTAATAATGCTAACCTAGTCAGGGGGAGAGGGCCCCTTGGAACTATAACTGTAACTGATTGCTTTTAAAAAGTAACTTTCCGGACTGTCTCAATCAGCTGAGCTCCAGGTAAAAGTATCAAGTTTCACATGTGATATGCATATGTGGGAAAATATGAATAATCAGCTGCATTAGATTTTGGATGCAACTACACTATAGAATTAATGCAGTTTGATGCCACTTTGACTTATTTATTTATCATGTCAGAAGCGATTTGAGGGTGCAACTGTAATGTATTTGAAAACACAAACAAAGTTAAAAACTTGGCATTATGCTAAATGCCCTTTGACCAGTAGCTGACCACTTGGAGTGCCTCTGGTGCTGCTATAACAGTGGTTCCCAACCTTGTTCTGCCCAGGGAACACTTGACCAGGGACCACTTTGACCAGGGACCACTCTCCAACATTAGTACCAAAAGGGTTTTTGGTCAACTTTAGATTCAGCTTGGTTATTTGGAGTGCTGATTCAGAAAATTGCATTCGATAGACCACATCAGCTGTAGTTTCTGATACAGAACATATATCATCCAAGAGTCACCATCTGCTCGCTCACAGAAAACCATATTTAATAATCTAGAACTGATGTGGTAGTTGTAATCTTTTGTGAGTAGTCAGCCTCTCCCCTCCCAACATCCCTGTTGCCTCAGCACTATGAGAGGGTATTGTGAGACCAGTCGATTTTGTTGCCACATGGTTTTGAGTGTAGTAATGGTGAGACCACGGACCATATTTTCGTTCTTGTGGACCACTGGTGGTCCATGGACCACAAGTTGGACAACCACTGTGCTATAAGAAGGTCCTCCTCTGTGTATGTGGCAAGTCTCAGACTGCATTGTAATAGGTGGCCTGTGGCCTGCTTTTCTCCACACTCGCATGTTGTGGACTCCACTCTGTAGCCCCATTCCTTAAGGTTGCCTTTGCATCTTGTGGTGCCAGAGTCCAATCTGTTCAGCACCTTCCAAGTTGCCCAGTCTTCTGTGCACCCAGGATGGAGTCTCTCATTTCATATCAGCCATGGATTGAGATTCCGGGTTTTAACCTGCCACTTTTGGACTCTCTCTTGCTGAGATGTTCCTGCGAGTATCTCTGCAGATCTTAGAAAGCCATTTCTTGATTTAAGGCATTGGTGTGCTGGCTGACATCCTGATATCAGCCACTTTAAGTGTCATGTCTCAATGCTATGCAATCTTGGGAGTTGTAGTTTGGTGAGGCCACAGCACTCTTTAACAGAGAACATGAAATACCTTGTAAACTACAACTTTGAGGATTCCATAGCATTGAGTCATGGCAGTTAAAGTGGTGTCAAACTGCATTAATTTTAAATGTAGAGGCACCCTTTGTCAGAATCTTCAATTGTATTTAGATGAACAGGCATGAATAACCATATCTCCAGGATGTGGGGCAGTATGTGAGCTAGGATGCTGATGAAAGGAGTAGCTCTGGTAGAAATTCCTTCGGCATCTACATGAGTGTCAAACAAGACAGAAAGACGACTCAATCTTCCTGTCCCGAAGTTCTGATTACATTGTCACCAGCACACTTGCAGACTTCCACCTAATCTATCAGTGCTCCAGTCATCCATTTCATTTATCTAAATTGAGTTCCTGTCCCCTGACAAGCCGACAGGAGACATGTATTGTTTTATCTGCAAACTGATGTTATCTAAAATGTTTCTATGCCTTTTGTCTTTGGTAGGAAAACGTATAAAGCACTTTAGTGCATGCAATCAATTGCTACATTACATTTTCCATCTGATATATATTTTTCTATGTTTTAAATCCATTGTGAAACTTGAAACTGTCACCATTTCATCCGATAACAGGGCAGTCACAATTTGATTACTATCGTAGAAACCGTTCTATGATAACACCAAGCTGCAAAATTGTCTTTTAATTCACTTCCCTTAGTTGGAACATTGTATTTCCCCAGAAAATCTTGTGACTTTTTCTGAAATGCAACATTCTGATATTTTTATTGAAACTTTTCTTTGGTTTTCCAATTTTTACTGTGGGAAATACCAGTATTACTGATTGCAAATTAAATAGTAGTAACTCACCATTCCCTATGACCTTTCTCAGCCTGTGAGCGAATGGTTGTTTGGACATTCTGCCGGCATCAGAGTCATTCTGAAATTTTGTCCTCTGTATTTCTTGAAACCATTCTCCAGTTACTCCAGGAAGTTCTGTTGAATCTTCTCTTTTCTTGTTAAGTTTGCTTAAAAAGAGAACAGAATGGGCATTCAGTATTTCAATAGTTCAAGAAGGAAAGCTCTTAATAAAGTCTACTTAGGAGTGGTCCAACTCACTTCTATCACATCTATTTATAAATAAATGTTAGGAATAAGTACTCTTTTCATGTGATCCACATTTTGGGGGGGGGGGAATGTTAGTATTCTAAGCTCATATGTTTAATAATAATAATAATAATAATAATAATAATAATAATAATAATATAACCCTTTATTTGTATGCCGCCCTATCTCCCCAAGGGTAGATTTCAGTATATACAGACACAAAGCAACAATGAAGCACAGATACACAGATAAAGGTAAAGGCTTCCTCTTCATCTCCAGCTCTGCGGGTGGTGCTCATCTCCATTTCTAAGCTGAAGAGCTTGCATTATCCACAGACACCTCCTAGGTCATGTGGCCAGCATGACTGCATGGAGTGCCGTTTCTCTTCCTGCCGAGGTGGTACCTATTGATCTACTCACATTTGCATGTTTTCAAACTGCTAGATTGACAGGAGGTGGAGCTAACAGTGGGATCTCACCCCATCCTGCAGATTTGAACTGCCAACCTTCCAGTCAGCAACTCAAAAGTTTAATTCATTAAACCACCACGGCCCCTATTCAAGTTACTATTTATTTGAAGCCAGCATAAAGTAATGGTTTGAGTATTGGAATATGACTTTCGAGACCACAGTTCAAGTTCTTACGCAGCCATGAAAATGCACTTGGTGAGCTTGGGCATGTCACGCTATCTCAGCATCAAAGAAAGCAATGGCAACTCTCCCCTCTCAATGCATCTTACCAAGAAAACCCCATGGTAACATTGCCTTAGGTTTGCCATAAGTTGGAAGCAACTTGAAGGCACATAATAACATCTGTTAACTCTCAATCAGCCCTGAAGACATTGTAGATAACACTAGATCAAGGTTTAGTGCAGCTTTCCCCAACAATGTGAGCTAAAGATATTTTTGGGACTCTCATGAAGAGGGAGAGTGGGAAGGAGGGAGGGAAGAGGGAAGGAAGGAAGGAAGGAGAAAAGGGCAAAAGGGAAGGAAGGAAGGAGGGAGGGAGAAAGAGGGAGGGGTAAGAAGGGAGGGAGTAAAGGAGGAAAGAGAGAAAGAAGGGAGGATAGGATGGTGAGAGAGAGGAGGGCCTGAGAACAGAGCCTAAGGGGCTGCATCCAGCTCCCGAGCCTGGGTTTGCCCATACCTGCTCTAGACCCAACCTTTACTCGGTCCTAAAAGGACACAAGGCATGTGAAGCTTAGCTCTTGCTCCTCTTACTTCTTGTAAGCTTTGCGTAGGCAGCAGGACGGAGGGTGGCATAGCAAAGACAGTAGGCTCTAGAAAGAGGCAGTGTTTTCTTCAGAGACAGTAATATAGCTGCTCAATGGCAAAAGATTTTCTTAGAATTGTAGACTACTGTATTGAAGAAATATTTTTTATCCAATGCATATGCTTTCTTTCTTCTCCAATTTTATTTTGGTGGTCCAAGGTCATGTAGGGAATTTCATGGGCATTTGGGTACTGGAGCTTGACCCTCCCAAATAACATCTAACAATTCCCATTGCAACTAATTATATATATATACATACATACATACACACACACACACAAATAATAACCCAGCACCTTGAAGTTCATCTCCACTCATTGAATAAACTGCTACTGTCCCTATTTGCTTCTCCCCTTTTAAGTGGCATACTATTACCCCTGTTGTAGCCCAGCCTTTGCCAAATGCCCCCAAAATGTCAACCTCTGAAAGTCACCTTGCTGGTGGAGAAAGGATATATTAGCCTCCTTTCCATTAAGTTTCTCTGCTTTCAATCCCAAATCCCCTCCCATGGCATATGAGTTTCAAAACCTACCTTCCAGAGAATTTGTTGTGATCACACATAATTGGGCTGGCACAGAAGGAGCCCTTTGGTATCAAACAGTCCTTTGAATTAGGGAAGAACTCTCAAAGTCCAAGGATTCCATCCTCCACTATTTTGCTGGACTCCGGAAAATAAGAAGGTAGCGCTTGAAGAATCTAATGGGCAACATGTGGTCACTGAATGTGCATGAAGAGGGAGTGAGTCTGTGTTGTCCAGCCCCATCTCCTGAGCCATAGGAATTAATTTCCCCAGAATGGAGAATGTGTGATTACCCAGGCATTGTCAAGACTGCAGCTTTGATCATCCCTTCCCATTAGCTATTCTGACTAGGGTTAGATCAGGCATGGGCAAATTTGGCCCTCCAGGTGTTTTGGACTCCAACTCCCACAATTCCTAACAGTCTACTGTTTGGAATTGTGGGAGTTGGAGTCCAAAACACCTGGAGGGCCAAAGTTTGGCCATGCCTGGGTTAGATGGACACTGGATTCCAACATCATCTGTTGAGAAACATGTTTCCTATTCCTGTAGTTCAAACCCTACATGTGTGTGATTGGAAACTCTCTAAAATGTTACTGGCGGCGCATACGTACGAACAGTGGGTCCTTCGTAGCCCGTGACTTGGTCCTAGGATGCTCTGTGGATGCCAATATCCGACAATGCTCAAGTGTGGTTATATATAATTGCATAGTAAAATGACACCCCTTATATAAAATGGTAGAATCAACGTTTATTTTGGGAATTTTGTTTGTTTGTATTTTGAATATTTTCAAGTTGTGGGTGGTTGAATCCGTGGATAGATGCTGCGGATATGAAGGAGTTTTCATGATGTGTGAAAAATCTCCTGAATGCACATATATAGCAGAGGTTAAGTCGTGGAGGCATATTCCCATTACCCCACAAAGTTGTTCAGCGAATGGAGAAATGTAGGCTGCATTAAGAGAGCTTTTGCTTTTTACAGAGAGTACCATTTTAACACAAATCTGTATTGACTATGAGTCAACTCTTACTTATCATTTGGCACTCTGATCTCCCAGGCTGATCAGATCTGTTTACTTGCTTCACCTTTACTTCTCTGCTTAATGTCACTTCGGTTAACCAGCACATTTACAGATCCCAAACTACACATTCATTATCCAACTATACATTCGGGAAGAATTTCTAAAATATATTGAATGTATTGCACACCCTCTAGAGGCAAAGGAAAGACATGGCATCATTTATGACGAGCGACAGCAACTTTTAAATATTGCTAAGCAACATCTTAACCTCAGTAGCTTAATCAATAGGATCCCAGTAAGATCTGAAGTGCTGGGTGATAAAACTGAAAAAGAGATGTATGTATTCAAGCCCCAGGTCTAGAAAACCTAGGACTTTAGACCACAAATTCGCTATTCCAGCTGCATTCTCACTGACATCTCTGTGACATCCTCTGTTTGATATCAGCCAGCATGCCAACACCTTAAATCAAGAAATAGTTGTATAAGATCTACAGAGATACTAGCAGGAACACTTCACCAAGTGCGAGTTCAAAAGTGGCAGGCTAAAACCCAGAACCTCAACCCACAGTTGATATTATTTATTTATTTCACACATTTGTACCCCGTCCTTCTCAACCCCCAAGGGGGACTCAGGACGGCTTACAACAGCAACAATTCGATACCAACACATACAAAAACTCTGTCCTGAATTGCCCTTCAAAAACAGACTTTAGACAATGTTGCAAGTAAAAGAAAAATGCTTTACTTCAGCAAACACAAAGGATAAGCAAATGCAATTGAAAAGTGCAAAAGAGAAGGTCCCGTCACTCATCCCCACCAAACGTGTTTGCGAAGAGGGCGGGATTGAGAGCAGGGCCTCCCCGGATGATCTTAAACTCCGAGGCAGGACGTAGAGGGAGATACGTTTAGACAAGTAAGGTGGGCCGGAACCCTATAGAGCAGGGGTCCTTAAACTTTTTAAACAGAGGGCCAGGTCACAGTCCCTCAAACTGTTGGAGGGCCAAATTATAATTTGAAAAAAAAACATGAATGAATTCCTATGCACACTGTACATATCTTATTTTAGTGCAAAAAACACTTTAAAACAATACAATAATTAAAATGAAGAACAGTTTTAACAAATATAAACTTTTTAGTATTTCAATGGGAAGTGTGGACCTGCTTTTGGCTGATGAAATAGGATTGTTGTTGTTGTTGTTGTTGTGTGCTTTCAAGCCATTTCAGACTTAGGTTGACCTTTAGCGAGGGCTGGGTAAATGATCTTGAAAGGCCGTATCCTACCCTCAGGCCTTAGTTTGAGGACCCCTGTTTAACCCATTGCACCACTGTGGGCATTCTCACTGAATTCTCAGTAGGAAATAAAACTGTGCATGGTTTATCTGTGTCTTAGTTACTATCTCAGACTTCAGACACAAACTGTTGAATGTTTTGCAAAAATAAACCAACACCCTCTTCCTGCAGGCAAAATGGCAAAGTTCGAGTTTCTGGATTTCTAATTTCCTATGTGATGGGAAGCTACTCTGTGGAGGATGAAGGCTCTGTCTTGAAAACTAACACTTTGCAATCAGAAGTGATGCAATCCTGCTCTAGGGAGAACCTGACCTCTTTTCCCCCTCTCTCTGAGATTAATGAGAAATACACCAGAAATTTCATCGCTGTCCCCTGAGAGAATATGAAATGGACACCACAAGTGCTGAACAATATTGTGGAAATTTTTCTCTGGTTCCTGAATACTACAGCCAGTATACCAAGTCCGTTCCAGCCAAGCCATTTACAGCAACATTATGAATGCAATTGCTTGCTTGTTCCAGACAATATTAGTGTTTTCCCTCACAGCACAACAACAAAGAGCGCTTCCATTGCCCTGTTTATTTATTTCAGTCCTCCTATGTATTCAAGGCTGCTGACAAGGACCATAATAAAAGCAATTGCACAGCCATCGTATGAATTTAAAAGGGCATTGGCTTGCAGAAAGAACAGGCAAGCACAAAATTAAGGATGCAAAAAAGTATTTTGAGGAGCATGTTGCAAACACCATCAAGACCAGCAATGAAACATTATTTGCATGCATCAAGAAGCAGGAAAGGACAGTAAAGCAGTTGGAGCAATGA